AGGGTGTAGGGGTCCTTTCAAAGGGTCCTTTTAAAGGGTTGCATAGGCTTCCGTTACAGGGTTCTGGTTTCATAGGCTTCCGTAAAAGGGTTCTATACGGGGCTACTAGTAGGGTTGAGGGTTTAGGGGTTGAAGGGTTTATGGCTTAAGGGTTGAGGGTTCAGGGTTGAAGGGTTGAAGGGTTTAAGGGTTTAAGGGTTTGGGGTTTAAGGGTTTTAGGGCTCAAGGGTTTGGGGTTCTTGGGTTTGGGTTCTTCTCTTGGTTTCGGGACCGGGCGGGGCTCTTCTGTCGAGGGGTGGTAGGTTTCAGGGGTTTACTAAAGGGCCGAATCAAACTTGAGGTCCGGCGCCCTGGAGCCTGTTTCGGGTTTAGGGCCTTTTAGGGTTTAGGGTTTAGGGTTTAGGGTTTAGGGTTTAGGGCCTGTTTAGGGCCTTTCGGGTTTAGGGTTCAGGGTTTAGGGCCTGTTTAGGGCCTTTGGGGTTTAAGGGTGTAGGCCTCATGGGTACCATGGAAAAGAACCGAAGGAGTACTAACGAAGAGATATGGCCATAGCGGGCAACTTTGACGGATGCCCTGAAGAAACTTCTTGGATTTGGAGCAAGGGCCGGAGTCTTTGGCTACGAAGTGACAATCACCCTAAACCCTAAGCCCTAAGCCCTAAGCCCTAAGCCCTAGACCCTAAACCCTAAACCGTGAGAAATCTTGCTGCAGATTTCAGGCATGTACCTGGATTCGAAGTACCACATTCACGAGGGCAGCTCGGCCGAGGATGAACTGCTCGTTGTTTTGGGTTTTGTTTCAGGGTTTAGGGTTCAGGGTTCAGGGTTTAGGGTTTTGCTTCAGGGTTTTATTTCAGGGTTTGGGGTGTAGTTTTCGTTTTTCTGGATGTGGGTTTAGGGTATAGGGTTGTGTAGATCTTTGGTTTCAGGGTTTGGGGATTAGTTTCCTTTTTTTTGGCTGTGGGTTTAGTGTATAGGGTTGCGTAGATCTTACATAAGCCTAAACCCTAAACCCTCAACCCTCAACCCTCAACCCTAAACCCTAAACCCTCAACCGTTAAACGTTGTGGCCACTCCTTTCGTTGCCAAGTTCTCCCCGGCCCACCGCGTCTCCTACCGGATTTGCGTAGTCGTTGGGATCATATAGGGGCCGTGGGGTTCAGGGTTTAGGGTTTAAGGTTGAGAGTTTAGGGTTTAGGGTAAAAAGTCCCTGAAAAGTAAAAGGCTCTTTCTGGGTATTGTATATCATAGTTCTCATTTTAGCCTGTCCGCCAGTCATATTCTGAAGCTCCTTCAACCCTAAATCCTAAACCTCTCACGTGAAAGCCGTCATCAAGCATGCTTCTAGCTGGGTGCTAAAGCAGACGATAGAACTTCGGGTAGCATGGCGAGACGAGAAGAAGCCGCATGGCAGGAAAGCGAAGCCGATCACGCGAACCATCAAAAGCGAGCATATTAGCTCATCATCTGCAATAAGATTGCAACCCTAAGCCCTAAACCATAAACCCTAAACCCTAAACCCTAAACCGTGGCTCTGTTGTTTGCCTTAAAATGTCTACTAAGTTCCCACTGAGGCATGTTCGCGTCGGTGCATAACTCGGTGGAAATGTTCATGCAGATCGATGGCCATGCCTTGCTGCTGCGCCCTTGTTAAGGAACCTAAGTTTCCATAATAGCGTTTAAGGGAACCCGAAACACTAAACCCCTGAATGGGGGTTGGTTTAGGGTTTAGGGTTTAGGGTTTAGGGTTTCGGGTTTCCGCAGTATGGTGACTAAAGTGAAGCTCCTTGAGCAAGAGCCGAGGCTCTTCATCTTCGTCCCGGTTCTCCTCTTCACCGCCCTTTGGGGTTCGGATTTAGGGGTTTCCGAAATGGGGGACCCTAATATAGTACCCTAAATAATAGGATCCTCATTAAAAGGGCCCCAAGCTAGGGTACCCCTTATTTTCGGAAACTCCCATTTAGCAATGCTTTTCCTCTCAGTTCGCCTTAGAGGCCTTAGGCCCGACAGGCCCCTCATGTAGGGGCCTTAATAATTCGAACAGGGTTTGGGGGGTGCATTATACCATAAATTGAATAAGGGAACCCCCAAAACCATATTCTTTCTAGTTATTAAGGCCCCACCCTAAACCCTAAACCCTAAACCCCAACATGACACCCGAAGGGGTTTAGGGTTTAGGGGCTGTGGGGATCCTAGGGGCAATGTCGGCGGCTCGACTTCGCACCATTCGGATTCGGATCTTTGAGTCCTTAATGGAGTAGGGTTTAGGGTTTAGGGTTTAGGGTTTAGGGTTTAGGGTTTGGGGTTTAGGGTTTATGGGTAGCTTTCTGGGGTTTACGCATTGCCGGCGCTGGCCTTTTTTAGGTCCCCTAAATAGTACTGCACCCTTATAGACAGGGCCCTAAAAGGGACCCCAATTTGGAGAACTACACGCAGAGAGTACTTGTAGTACCTTTGTAGACCGTCATAGATCCCTTTAAAGGGACCCCAATTTAGAGAACTACCCATGTAGGTCCCTGATTCATAGACCCCGCTCACTTATAAAGGGGGATCCAGACAGTCCCCACTACTTCAGGGGCGCATATACCCCCCAAACCCTGCACCCTGTATATGATAGTACTTTATGGTATATCATGGTATGTTTTATTAAATTGCGGCATATCATAAACAGGAATCTCTGTCGGTGGATGTCCACCTCTTCCGGAAGACCTTCTGGCAGAGCTTTCTGCTCGCATGCCCCGGGGTGGTGGCCAGTGCAGCACTCTCTGGCGTGGTGACTTTCTACGTGCTCCCCTACTCATGGAGTCTCGGCTGTGTAAACTACAATACGCACGGAACAACTCGTAACAGCATCCCCAAGTAGCTCATTCATAGTTCTGCCGTTGTAGGCAAGAAAGCGTTGTCCGAATCGTGAAGGCCTCTATCCTGCGGTTTCAGCTTTTCTTCTGCTGCCAAGGCTTGGGAATCTAGGGTCGGCGGCTGCTAGGGGTTTAGGCAGACTTGCATGTTTGAGCACACCGGACCTATATCAGTTACCTGTGCCACCATATCTGCGTCAGCATCGTCAGCAGCAGCAACAGCCCCAGCATCACCATGACTATCGTAATCGTCGCCCCCTCCTCCTCCTCCTCCTCCTCCTCTTGCTCCTCCCGTCCTCGCCATGCTCTTCATCCTCATCAGAATCGGCATCATCACTGCCACCATCATGATCCCCTAAACCCTACACCCGGAAAAAACCACAAAACCCAAAACCTTGAACCCTAAATCCTAAACCTTA